TTCCCTACGATTGATAGGAAAATGAGGTCGCGCAAGGTTGTCAATACGAGTGCAGGCCACGCTAGGTTTCGACGCAATTGCACGACTTTACTCGACCGATCGATTCTTTCGAGTCGTGTAATAAAAATGAATTAAATAACAAATTAAAAATACGTCCGCGCGAAACTGCATGTTGAATCGTTCGCTTTCTTCGAGCAAGTAAGTTCTGAAACGCAAGCGAGAGCAAACACGAGAAAGAGCAGAAAGCAAAACTGCAATAGCGAAAGAGTTTCCTCGTTAAACCGCTTCGAGGACCCGCTGTGTCACGGGCTACGTTCCGAGCAGTCGGATATCGCAACGAGTGGCTCGTAAATCCTCGAGTTCACTTCACTGACACCGATCGCGACGGTGACGATCGTGCTGTTGATCATAATAACAACAAAAAGCAACCGTTCAGCGTACTCTGTTCTCGCGATATCACATTTACCGGGCTCGTTTGCCAATCCAATCTCTTCGATCTGTTGACTGTTCAATTTTTTATAGTCAAACCAAAAGAGTCCTTCGAGCATGAATTTAACGCTTTCTCATAGCGCCCAGTGTTTGCTTAGGTCATTCGTCGTGAAGTTGCTGGTTTCGCGAATGCAAGAATCATCGTCGTCGTATTCTTCGTAAATTTTCACCACAATTTCGATACGAATTTCTTCTCGAGCACTACGCGGAAAAGAAATTGATTAATAAAAACATCGAAGAGTGATAAGCGGGGCCATGCTGGGATATAGGAAGAACGATAATTGTCTTGGAAGTCTAACCAGGGGAGGAAAGAGGAGCTACAAGGGAAAGGAGATAGGATCGCTCTCTCGACGATGTCATCTCGACGTCTCATCGGCATGCAGCCGGTTGGAAAAACGGATTTCTCTCCGTACTCCGCCGAGGCGAAAAATCTTCGATCGCTTGGAAATTACCTCGTGAAACGAGAGACGCGAACGGAGCGAAAAAGGCGATGTCGTTTCGCCGACCGAGAATTCGCGCAACATTTTCGTCAGTCTGTTGTCGGCTGACGGCGTGTAGCAGTGCGCCTTTTTCGAACGTTCTCTAACCACTGACGTTCGAGTAGCGAAAACGAAGGAGTAATTAAAAGTTTAAATTGCCGATTCGAAAGTTATTTGGTCGAAATACCACCAACGATCTTTTCACTATACGCGAACGAAAGACTTGTAACATCGTTCGACCTCGTTTTATATTTTTCTCGGTACGTAACATTCGCAGTTGGTTCTCCGAATTCGTCGAAGTAACTTCTACATAGGAGAATTCTCTTTCTCTTCCTTTTTCTTCTAATATATGTTACGAGTGGAAACTTTTCAGAGCTGTAAATATTCAAACGCGTGTCCACTTTTCGATCGAACTTTATGGAATTTGTCGATCCCTTTTAGCGTAATGTACGACGTACTGTCGAAGCCTCTGGGATTTCCTCGCAATTCGGCAGCGCGTGAAATATTCCTATTCGAAGCGAAGAGAAGGAGCTTGGAGAAGAAAAAGATCCTTCGGGAGGAGGTCGAGAACACCGGGGTGACAGTTGTATTCGTGGAAAGGAGAGTTTCATTCACACCCGGATTCGTTAATGAACTGCCGGTGCCTTCACGTCGTAGTTCGCGAATTTTATATTCATCTATTTTCGACGAATATCGATCGGTCGCCGCCGCAGTCGAACGATTGCGTCGAATCCTCGAGCAAGCGAATGATTCGCCGACTCGACGAATTTCCTCTCAGAGACGAGTCAACGAGCGTATAATCGGCCAACTTTTCAGACAATTATCGAAGTCGCGAAACG